TATGAGACCTTCTCGGAGACCAACAGTTTGTTAGATGTGATGGATGAAGCAAGTGAGTTTACGCCGACCGATGAAAGTTCGGCGGTTAACCGTTTTTTTGTATCGGTTGCAGGCTCTCTAGAAGAATTTGGTATAAATTCAAGTATCAGATGCTCCAGATCGCGGTGGTCGTTCGTGCTCTGCTGTGTACGTTCGGGTGTAACGGCTACTGTTGAAATCGTCCCCGAGCCGGGTCCTAAATTTAGTGTTTTTCATTGAAGTTTGCGCCCACACTGAATTCTCATTAGAAGGTGATTGTGTTCCTGCTGCTCTTAGACGAATTTCTGTTGACGATCTGCTACGGAACTTAGCCTAATTCGCTACTAGACTTTGTGCCGTTAGTTCGGATTGTAACACTAGCCTAAGCAGCCTGAGACCGCACCCTTTGTAGTTCGCCACCTTGTCAACAAGGTGGCGATAACATTTCGGTAAGAAAGGCCCCCTGGATGTAGTGCCTTGGCTCCCGGTCGTGTAGTTGAGCATCGTCGGAACAGGAATCTGCAAGCACAGGAGCACCGTGAGCAATCACAGTTTTGTTATCTTGACTTTTCTGTTTCACTCTCTCTCTCTCAGTGGGATCCGCTGAACGTACTTACTAAGGGAATTCAGGTAGTGTATGCACTCCACTTGAGACGTTGCTGACTCGATTCCCAGACAGCAGACCGGCCTCTGTCTCATCCACAGCGTTTTGTGTTAGCCGAAATAATCGAGGTTCACCGTAGAGCAGTGTGTTTGGGTGACGCGAGATGCGTCTTAAAATCGTAAGGTCAGCATGGACACAGAGACCTGCACAGAAAATTGAATGAACTAACCTGTTTGGCTAGCTGATTGTACTGCAACCGGCCTTCGAGGAAGAAGAATGCCTCCACACACTCAAATGGGACAGAATTTTCACTTGGAAACTTATCCTACGGAAACCGTTTTTAATGACCAGAATAATTGAATGGACGATATTGTCATTCAAAACATTTTCCACAAACCGGATTCCAAATTCGACCGGCTCTAAAGAATATTGTGGGATATGGACTAAGCCATTCTGACATCCAAGCGAAAAATATGGCCATCATCCGACTGCGGATAATCGAGTGCATGATCGGTCAGTTAGAAGCATCGCCAGCTCTACCTTACAGATTGCAATGTTCCAGGACGTGGTGAGTTTTCGCCTGGCAAGCGTTCTCCCTAAAAAACCTACAAATGTCCGCTTAACAACAGCGCGAAGTGGCGGATGTGACTCGCCAATGAATAAAGTCAACGCCAACAAACTCACACTGGCAACTTGAGCATAAGCACCTTTTTTATCATACCTGACATGGTGTAACTTGATGCACTCGAGAACAAACGGCGTATTTATTTATGTTCACACCCCACGCAACAGCATGGGCTTGTGTACATGTTAATCTGATCCCTCGCGGACACAGCATCTAGCAACAGTCTATAAATGTACCTTTATGTATTGGGTTATTTATTTATTCAACTCCATTGATTGCTAGCCTCTGTCAACCTACCTATAATGGTATTGGATTTGGTTTCGGGGATATTAGCGCACACAGGGTTTAAGACACCATGGTTGCGCCTGGTGGCTTTTGGTTTCGGAGTATTAACTGCCCGTGCTTTTGATGAATTCGTGAACAGCACTAGAGGAGGTCACCTGTGCTGGGACACTTCAGTTTTCTCTAGTCTGGTCACCAAGGTTACCGGTAAAAATTCGGGTGTCTGCATGGATGCAACGGATGCGTCCGTTCCCCGGTCCATAACTATGCCTCCTTGATTGCAGCTTAGGGTCTGTAGTGGTACAAAAAATATAGGAAGGTTTCAGTCCCTTAGTAAAGGTAAAAACTTGCAGAGAGTCAACTCACAGTCTAATCACAGTTGAGTTCGAGTCGTATTTTGCGCTATACCCGTGGCACACGTCGAGCACAATGGAAATAGTCGCTCGATAGTAATTCCGAGTATACTATCCGATTTGCAAGCAGACAGAACGGCACCGTACGCACGCAGAAGCAGCACAGACAGAAATCAGCACGACGGAACGCGGGGCACGAGGAAGTGCGTTGTAATCATTAATTCAAACAAACTGTACAAAAGATGTCATGGTAGAATTGATGACAAGAAAGACAAAATGTGATAAATCAATAACCAGTACAAAACTCCCCCCGTAGAGCGTGAACTGGTAAGGTAACGCTCGATATAGCTATGTAGGGAACAAACTCAGCTAGTTTGGAGGGGAAAGACACAGAACATCGTGAACGTGTGTGCTTGGGATCAATCGTTGCGCGAGCGCATGAAGGTTCTAGAGCATTGGAATCGGTCAATTGACCAACAGTGGGTAACAACTTGGGATCAGTCAAAGTAACGACAGGTTCAACATAAGCGGGTTTTAGATAGGCTTGTGGACCATATGGGAAATTTCAATATTGTAAAATCCCCTATAATTTTCTACCACACAATACTGCTTCATTTCTTGTCGATTAGATCTTATACAGGATGGCGCACGAAATAGCACAATTTATTTTGTTCATTACCCATATAATATTATCGCAGCCAGCTTCTACTTCAGATAAGCCCACATGCCCGGAAAACACTAGAGTGCCGTTTCAGCCTGTTGGGCATTATCAGTAGTGCGCGTCTTATCCTCCAGGGCCATGCAAGTTACAAGCGTTGCCGAGGACAGGGTTGTTCTCGAAAGACACCACGTCCACTAACAACAGCTGCGTACGACATAGCGTTTGGAAACTGTTAGGTCGGTTATATTTTATGAATTCATGAGTAGAGGTTTTTGTTATAGGTAGTTGGGGTTCTTCAGAGCCAGCATCCAAATCAGATAGTCTTCACATGCTCGGAAAAGTACTAAACTGCAGTTTCAGCCAGTTGTGCATTATCAGTAGTGCGCTTCCATCGGAACCATCAAGATTCCAAGCCACAACTACCAACCGCTTGCACCGCCCTAAGTTTCTAAATGCTATGTCGTACATAGCTACTGTTGGTGGACGTCGTGTCTTTCGGAGCTCACCTTATCCTCTGCAACGTTCGTAACTTGCATGGCAGTGGAGGATAAGACTCGCTAAATCACAGTTGACTTGTAAATCATGACGGTCCGAATCTGTCCCCCGAGGCCCATTGGCATAAGCTGCTGACTGGCAGTGCAAGCCGCTGATGGTCATGGGTTCGACTCCTGAGGGATCCGATGGAGGCGCACTGATGAAGCCCAACAGGCTGTAACTGTAGTCTATTGCTTTTTCGGGCATGTGGGAGTCTATCTGATTTGGGAGCTGGCTGTGACGAACTTCAATTATCTATAACAAAATCCCCTACTCATGAATAGGTGTAATATTATAGATGTAATCTTGAAAACTTCTATTCGTATACTTTGGTTTATGGAAAATTCAGTAGATGTCACGAGGTTACTATGGAATATTTTCTTGGCGCCAAACACAATTTTCAAGGTGGCGCATAAGAACAGATTGTGTGTTGAACAGAAGGTGAAACTTGTAATGTTTCTTTACAGAAACAAGTTTTGTAGCGACACTAAGACGATTTCCTGCACATTTTCGTACGATGGAACAATCGTATAATACGGATAAAAAGCCAATGCTTGACAAGTCCGTGGGATGGTTTGTGGGAATAACATTAGTTCAATTAAGTTACACAAAAGTGAAAAACACATCTGTGGACTCACCATATTATCCACGTTAACACAGGTATATCCGTCTAACCCGATTTCGTGGGGTTGTTGAGCGTAATAGTTGTCTGCGTCTTGTCGTCATTCAATAAACAGAAATCAGATCAATTAATGTAAATGATGCATCGTCAATTTGAAACAACTGGCTCTGGTGGAGAATAGATGGTACAGACCAAGTGTCTACATCCGTGAAAACGTGTATGCAGTTCGCGTTGCTTTGACACGAAGCCCTAACAAATCATCAATGAGGACGGCTGCGGATTTGGGGATAGCTCGCCGGTCCATACAAAGATTTATGCATTCTGTTCTCTTACAAGATAACACGTGTCCATAAATTAACAGCAGAGGACAAGCAACGAAGTCATCAGTTCGTTTTATGATTGGTGCAAGAGGATCACGTCCTGTTCGCTTGCAGGAGGTTGTGAAACAAAATAGTGATCACAGTGAACACACACTATATTGGACTAACTTTCTATGCTCGTACAATTAATGCTGCGATAATTTTGTAATATTCTGAAGACAAATACATGTGTAATGAATAAGACAAACGCAATGACATATCGTTTCGTTACCCTGTATACTAACCTTTCCTGCTCATTTGCGGGATGTACAGAGTATTCGTAAATTCCGGACACTCAGGAAAAAATGCAAACTTTTATTCAAATAACATCTCCAGTATGATTTTCATTATTCGCAATGCAAACGTTGATGCATTTCGCAAAATTTCGTGCAATCGATGTAATAAATCCACCTTGCCGTTAACATTTTGTTACCTTCCCTCCTAATTCGTCGAGTCAAATGTATACAATCGGTGATCTTCATTGAGTACATTTTTCCTTTAGCATGCCCCAGCAACTACATTCGGTTTGACTGTGGGTGTACACCGTTAAAAAACGAAAGCAACTGCCGGTAGCCAAGCCAGTTACGCAGATCATGCGCAGCGTTAGGCAGCTTATTGTCGATGTCCCAAATCGCTGCAACCGAATTCTGGCAGCACAGTCAAGCAACAACAGGTTGACTGTTGCTCATACGGTTGCGAAGCTTAGTTGTGTTGGTAGGTTTAGGCTTGTTCTGTCTTGCGGTGGCGCAATTTTGGGCACACTAGCAACAATCACAATTGTTCCCATTGATAGCTACAATAGATACATGAAACACAGTCCACTATAGTTATACTCCTACAGTTAACCCAGAGTAAATTAAATGTAAACGCCCAAATCTAAGGTGAACTACAAGCTTCGGTGTCCACATTTCTTCCTTCCGTTTCTCCTCTTCACTTCTCTAGAGAGACAAATATTTGAACTTGGACAAACGGGTGGAGCTATCCATAGAGCTGAACCTCACAGAAACACAAATCAAAACATGGTTTCAAAACCGCCGGTAGGTCCACATCTGATGTGTATAGCAACTTGTTACTGAGATGATGGACGCAAGATACACCTGAGTATTAGAAGTGTCGCCTGGTTCAGTCGGCACATTGCAAAAGGTACTGTCATATCTCACAGCAACACCGTGACGTACGGCAGTACCGCAACCAGGCACCAGAGAAAGAATATGGAAAATTAGGACAATGGTGTATAATGGGTAAAATAGTAATGCTTAATGAGCCCCGTGGGATGAAAATTATTACGAAAGTAAATTGCATGATAAAGTGAAGCTTTTTGGTGAACTCACCATAGACTTGTGTAGAATAGCGGAGATGTTGATTGAGAGTTTGGTAAGACACCGTTTGATTGCATTTTGTAGCCCCTGGCTAACAATTCATAAAATGATTTATTCTTATTATTACTCAACACCTGACCAATATACAATTAGCAATGCCACAACCCATAGGTAATAATAATAATAATAATAGGAAAGCTGGTAGACAGTGGAAAGGTTTATAAGGTTAATGTTCATAAAATGAAATGCAAATGGAACAACGCATCGTCAACTCGTTTTTTAAATATCACCAGACTGGGAGCAGATACAGCACAATTAGGGAGGGCGTTCCAAGACTGGCGCACGTACAGGGAAAAGAAATTTCTACGGCCTTCAAGCCGGCTATACTGTATTGTCAGTCGCAGATAATGACCTCCTAGGTTAGTGTTGTGGTTCAATTCTAGCAGCGGACGGCAAATGTGGTTTGGGTTCTTCAGAATCCGGTAAACCATTATGAGATCCCCCCGCAAAAGTCGCTATCGACTGCTATACATTCTTGGATTTCAGTCTAAGCTGGTAGGACAGATGAAAGAGGTCCCTCAAATTCTTGGTTGTCCTTCGTTGAACAGTCTCGCGAGCAACGAGATCTTGCTTCTGCCACGGCTGCCACGCCTGAATAGCATATTTCATGTGCGGTCGCACGTAGGCGTTAAGCATCTGGGGAAAGATTGAGACTTCAAACCGACCGAAAGATCTGTGAAGCAGACCAAAGTGTTGATTGCCAGTTCTCGTCGCCTTTCCTGCTTGTTTTGAACACTCGAGACTCAGGGACGCACCTGAGGGACCTTCTCCAAGGTGTGTGCTCTAAGCTTGTAAGCGCTAGTCGTCTGGTGACGCAAATGGATCACCTTGCGCTTAGATATGTTCAACTGGAGCAGGTTCCCCTTTGACGTTCATAGATGCAATCTAAGTCATGTTGGGGCAGATCGGGATCTTCATTGTTACTAATCGCCCGCCATATCTTGACGTCATCGGCGAAAAGCAGGAAATTTGAGGAGATGACTCTTGCCAGGTCCTTGATAAACACCAGGAATAAACGCGGTCCCAGCACTGAGCCTTGCGGGACACCACATTCTACCTCAATCGGGTTAGAGGGTGATCCCCTAACGCGTACTTGAAGCTTCCCTTGGTGAAGAAAGCTGCCAATCCAACCAAGTACAGGATCTCCGATTCCGTAACTCTGTAGCCCGTAAAGTAGGATGTGATGATCCAGGCAGTAATAAGCTTTGGAGAAGTACAAATACATGAGGTCAACTCCGATGCCACCATCAGCCACTTCCGTCCAACTACCTCGTGCAATCAGTAGGTTGGTGGTGCTTGACCGGTGTCGACGGAAGCTATGCTCCTCCGGTGCCAAGTTGTCGCATTTTTCCAGGTAGTCCATTAGAGCCTCAGCGACGACCGACTCCATCACCTTCGCGAGCACAGGAGGAGAGTCACTGGACGATAGTTTGCAGGATCTTAACGGCTACCACCTTTAAAAATTGGGGTGATAATTCCACGCTTCCACATAATAGGGACATGTTGTCCATCAAAGCACCTTTGGAAGAACCTTGACAGTGGTTCAACTAGCTTGTGGGCCTTCAGCTTGTGGGCAGCCTTCAGTGCCTTCAGGCGGATGTTGTCCGCTCCCGGAGAACTATGCTCACGCAGTGAGAGTAAATTTCTTAGCACAATTGATGGGTTGAAAATTACATATGTAAACAATGGAGTCTGTAATGTGCATGATATTGTGGGACAGGTAGAGGCTGCGAGTATGAAAATTGTGGCGTATTGTAGCAGCAGGGCATTAGCTGCTTCTTCGGCACTTTGTTCTCTACCGCCTGTCGTGAAAAGTGGAGGGATTCCATGCTTCCCTTTCCGAATATTGTTGATATGCCTATGCAGCAATTTGTTGTTTGCCAGGAATTTTTTGGCTAGGCACTCTTGATAGATTACTTTGTCCTCACGGACAAGTACAGTGCAATGGTTGCGATGGGTCAGGAAATAGCCCCAAGTCAGGGTTAATCTTGTACACGCGCAAGGCTGCATCCCTTATCGCCATGCCTTTTCGAATCCTACACCTTAGAATTACAGGCATCTTTTGCGGGACGAAGAGGCTTGGTCTCTGATGCTCTTTTGAAGATGTCGCCGGGTCTATCAACAAACTTTGTCCAAACGCTGTCGAGGATTTTTGTTTGAGAATCCCAAGCAGCTGCGTCGACGAGTTCTTTCAATGCGTGGTAGCATGTGGTTGTACGCGTTAGTTCCGAGTGTTCAGATGGATACATTGCATAACACACATAGTTTAACGTTATTACTACATGGTCACTGAGACCTAATGGACTATGCATCAATAACTTGTCAACCATGGGCTCTTCTTTCGTGAGCACAAGGTCCAACATGGACGGTTTGTTTGATGTCCTGAATCTAGTGGACGTGGTGACATGGTTGTACAAGGGAATATTAGCGATCAGTTCATACAAGTCTGCTTTGAAGTGCTCACTGGGCGATGCCGAAACCTCCAGATTGTGTAGATCGAAGTCCCCGGAGATGAGAATGTGGCTGTACCTAGTGCGTGTTACTCTGTTCAGGCCACTATCAAGCGGGAATCCATTTCCGGAGTGGACGTCAGGGGGCGGTAAACGACAGCTACGAGACAAGCGTCGTTGTGTCTTAGTCGGAGACGGCAACAGTGTGAGTCGATAACGTGAGTTGCCAGATCACCAACTATTGCACATTGCTGATTGCTTCGGTAGTAAAGTAGGACCCCACCTCCTCTGCTGGGGCGGTCGTTCCGGATGTGTGACACTCCCGCTATCTCAACCTCAGCATCAGTCACCGCTTGGTGTAACCAATTTCGGTAATAAAAATTAGGTCCCAAGCATTCGCAATCTGACTTAGCCGAAGTTCGGTAAATTTACTGGGGAGCCCTTGGGCGATTCATGCGTGAAGTTTCGCCGACCAGTGATTGGCCGGCGATTAATGGTTTTTTCGATATGAACTTACTGAAGAGACTAACGTCTTATTCATTGTCCGCGTAGTTAATCTCGTGTCTAACCTTCTACGTACAGTGTAAGGTGTTTGGTCAATATCATCTTATACATGTTGTATGGGCTCATTATACGCACTACTGGTGCAGCTTACTTTTATAGATCCTGTCGCGTTTGGTTCTTTAAGTGCCATATCACCTCTAGGAGGCATATCGCTGACTATCTTCAGCAGAAGCCCAGGTGGTAGCCTGCAACGGAACATGTACCAGCTTTTTAGGATCGTGCTACCATATGTTTTGATTGTAGGACCACCTTCAACACTCTCGGGCCACTTCCTTTGTAGTTCTTTGAGGTATGCAGTCGTGACACGGATTGCGCTAACACATTAACCAAGCGGAGTGTTACACGAATATAACACCACTGTTCTTTATCATGGGTTCATAATTCATACTCATCACATGCTTCAATTTCAGGAACCCAGTGAAGAAGTATGGTTCTGGTTGAAGTTTCCTTCCGGTAGTCCTCTAAGGTACGGTTAACTCGATAACGCTCACCCCATGGGATGTCTGGAAAGATACGGATGGAGCAGTGTTCATTTCTGAGACTACCTGTCGACAGTAGTACTGATTCTACTTCAGTGATGGAGTTAGAACAACACGCAGAAGTCTTGACTCTCCGAAATGCTTAGAGTTAGAGTGTCGCGGAATACGCACTACGTGTACAGGTTTCAGTACAACTCCCATTGGGTTACTAATTATGTTCCATTGGTTGAAGTCATCCAACTGCCTGCCTCTTATCGATGTCGACTTTGATTCTGGGCTATTGGAGCACAGAACGCTCAGTATAGGTAGTTGTTTCTTTACGTCTTTTGACATGTCGCGGTTAGTGATTGAAATACTCGCCGGTGTACTGCAGCAAACCGGTGGTGCTTGCACTAGGAAAACACCGCTACTCTCCTCAGTTTCCGATCCATTTGGGGGTGATGTTAATTTTAAGTGACGGCTCTTTTTGGTAACAACCGTAACACAACTTTCGATAGTACCGACTAGCTCTTTTTCTATGGACCGTCGAGAGTTTGGAAGTAGCCTTATTTGTAGTCACTCCGATCAAACTGGGAATCGCATTAGTCAAATATGAGCCATGTGCGGTATTGGAACAGCAGTTGATGTTGTGGACTCTGGGTGTCGTGTTGCTTATGGTGTTATTAGCACTTCTTCTCGGAATAGGAGCAGCAATTACGGGGGAGGATTGGGTTGCACGGTCCGCTATGCTTACTTCAACCCTAGTGATTTTGGTGGTCACAATTTCCTCAAAATTGCATAGTAGCTGGTCGTACTTCTGAGATAATAGGAGCAAGCTTTTTAGCAGTGGGAAGATGTGCATGCCACGCGGAACCATAGAGAGTCAGGGTTGTTTAATAACCTGGCCTGACAAGGTTTAACTCGGAGGCATCTCGCATGGAAAAACTTGCAACATTTACGGCACTCTCCCTTAACAAGTTTGGTACTTCGTCCACATAGGTCTTTAGACTGTGGCACACTAGGCATCGCGTTTGTTGAAGAACTGTTACGAACCATTTGAATGACTCACCCTCTATAATATAAAGTTGTTCTGTTATTGACGTTGCCGGCAAGGTCACAGTGTTCACGTCGCAGTTGTGTGCGCGCTGACTGTCCTCTCTGGCGTGCCAGTCGAATGTGTCAGCTT